ATGTAGGAGGGGAAGGGGGAAGGGGACACCGAAAGGATGGGGGGGGCAGGAAGAGAAGGCAGCCGGGAGAGGGTGAGTTTTTAAGCCCATTACTACTGTGGGTGATGGTGGCCTAATCCCCAGGGGAACTCGGGGAGCAGGTGTAGAGCACACAGTTTAGGGAAATAATGGGGTAGTTCACGGGTGAGGGCTTCTCCCGGACTTAGTCCTTTAGAAATTGCACACCACCTTGCGTTTGGGCAGAGTGCCCTTCCCTAGGCCTCAGGCAAAGAGAGGTGGCCAGGGTCGCTCTGGAGTGAGACGAGTCAGGGCCCTGGGCACAGGCCTGCGGGAGGAGCACACTGACAGGGCCGGCAGCAGGGCAGGAGCACCTTCTGGAATGTGGCACCCTGGTGCCCCACTGGGCTCACCCTCCTCCCAGCCCCGGACACCCACACTGCCAGTTGGGTGTCACTGCACCCAGGGAGGGGGTGAGGCTGTGGGATGTAGGTGGGAACGATAACACTACAGCCCCAGTGATGGGGTTCTAACCCCCTTCATTGTTTGTCCTTACTTCCCAACTCCCGCCTTCTCAGAAACCCCTCTCAGCAAGACAGACGGCCCCTTCTCTCTCCCTCCCACGTCCCACCTCCCTTCCTTCAGGCCGATATCTTCCTCCTTACTGGAATGTGCCAGGTATTGGGTGACCCAGGCTTTCTCTATCCATCCTTTCTGGGTGTCTTCTGTCTTATTTAGGAAGCAGAGGCGAAAGACCCACTGCTTGCACCCTTCAGAGACCCACCTTCCCCCTTCGGCTGCTATTTCCTAGGCACCTGCTGTATGTACCAGATTTGGGGAAACAGAAGTGGAAGGTAGTCAAGGTCCTGCTGTCACCAAGCATCTATTCAGCAGGGGGAGAGAGAGCAGCAGCAGGCGCCCAAAGGCACACGAGCTGACAGAGCTGAGAAGACCTTCACTGTGAAGGGTGAACAGTGGGTTACGGCTACAGTTAAAGGGTCAGAAGAGTTCACTCAGGAAGTGATGGATGAGCTGAGAGCTGAAGCATACACAGACCTTAATGGGACAAAGAGAGGAGGGAAGGGCATTTTGATAGAACAGAACGTGCAAAGGCCCTGTGGTATGGGAGGGCATGGAGTGCTCAAGGGACTAAAGAAGGCTGATGTGGCTTAGCTGAGGAGGCTGTGATGGAGAGGGCATCATGGGAACAAGGCTGGGAAGGTGGCCAGGGGCTTTTCCATAAGGAGATCTCGAGTGAAGGGAAAGCATTGGAAGGGTTTTTAATAGGAAAATGACATCATCCAATTCATGTTTCAAAGAAGGCCTTCGGGTCATAAAGGTAGAAGGCTGGGGCCAAACTACTTATGGAGCAACACAGAAGGAGGCAGGGCAGAGTCCCACGTGAGAGCTGATGACACCTTGCGCAAGGTGCTGCCATGGAGGCTGGGGAGATTCATAGCATGACCTTTGACCTGTGCCCCCTCCTGCCAGGCTTGGGCTGGACATAGGGCCCGGTCTGGATCTCCTTGTCTCACAAGGACTGAAGGTCCCTTCACAGTGCTCTAGTCATTTCTTCCTTTTCCTATCTGTGCAGTATCCCTAGAGGCAGACGTTGTTAAACCCATTTTACAGAGCCCCCAAGTTAGCCACAAGCCCATAATTGGTGGAACTCATGATCTGACGGGAGAATAAGTGAGCAGCGAGGCTGGGACACAGGGTGCACAGGAGCAGAGGATGCTGGGGGAAGTCAGAGCAAGCAGCCACCTGTGGCCAGAGCGGGACCTCCCCGTGCTGGGGACCGCATGCCCCAGCGTCCAGCACGGGGTCTGAGCAGAGGAGGCCCACGTCACAAGTCTTAATACACATTTGCTGACTGTTTGAATATCTCCTTCCGATGCTTCACTTGCAAGAAATCTTGGCTGTCTGAATTACCATCTTTCAAGAGACAAATTATAAATGTTTTCTGATTAGTTCCACCATTCATAGCCCATTCCTAAATCAGCACAGGAAACAGCTAAGCTAAAACTTCTGCCTCTTTCTTCCTTTACAATCTGTCTGTTATCTTACTCTTTCTTCCTCCAAGTTTTTTCCCCCCCTTAGGCAATGTCTAGACAGTTAAAACAAAACAAAACTCTACACTGTGCTAGAAACAATTTGCCATGTAGTCTGTCCTTTCTTCTTTCCTTTGGTTGAAAAGGAAAGTTACCCTGTGAGCTGAGACCCAGGGACTCTCCCCACGGTATTGGTGAGATGTCAAAAGGTCCAGGTTGGTTACACGGAGTCAGATAAAGGCTACGGCAGACTCCTCTTCTAATCAGAATTTGAGCTCGCAATTTGTATGAGATAACTTTGTCCTCTCTGTAGTTATATTGCTTTGAAGGCTGTACGTACCACTATTTGGCAGTGACATTACTTGTGTGTTACTTATGTGTGGTATTTTAGTTCTACGGCAGCCTCTCTCTTCCTCACCTGCAAGAACGCAGTACCGTGCACCAGTCACACCCAAGAGATTGCCATTGCTTTTGTTCAGCGCTCATCAAACCTTGCTGGGACCATTACAGTCGTTTCCCTCTGCCTCCAGCCTCCCCCAGTCTAATCTACTACCCCAGTGACCCCTCTGAAATGAACATGTGGTCATGCCTGCCCCCACCCACCACCACCAACCTGCCTTATTCCCTGTCCTCCCATAGGGGTGTTCAGAGAATGAGGTTTAAAATGGAATGATTTATCCACACCGCTCATCAGTGACCTCAAGAAAGTAACCTATGGCTAAGAGCAAGGGTGCCAGGTCCTAGGCCGAGTGTGGGATGCACCTTTTTGCAGTGACCCAGTCTTCAGCATCTTCATCATTTTAAAGCTAAGGAGATGAAAGTTTAGAGACATCAGGTTTCTATCCCAGAGTCCCACAGCTGGGATAGAGACCTAGGCAGTCTGACTCCAGGAGGAGTAACTGCCACGCCCTACTGACTGACTTCATCAAGTCACTCACTGGGGGTGCCTACAGGAATGGTCCAGCTCACCAATGGGCAAAAGGCTTCATCTTCCCCAGCTCTGCAGAAGAACACGCTTTCCTCTGCAGGCCTGATACCACCAGTGCTGACACCTCTGCAGGCTTGATACCGTTGAGCCACTGCCTTACTACGGTGGGGTCAGGTAGAATCTGTGTTAGCAAGTAGCCCTGGGCAACTTGGGGCCCTGAGCTGGCTGCCCTCCCCCCACCCACCCACCCCCACCGATCCCTCAGTCTCAGGCCAGGTTCTGGCTACTTCTGAGCACTGAAGTCCTTACTCAGAACTTTGTCTTCTTGGACAAGCACTATTCTCTTGCCCTTTCTTACATGCCAGGGTCTAGAGTCCCTACTCCAAGTTGCTGCCAAGTTATTCCTCTGAATCAGAGAAGCTTCTGGCAACCCAGGGCTTATCCATCTGCCCATATTGGGGTCCCTTCTATGACACCCCTTTTGGCTGGGGGAGTTGTTGAGCAGGTAGTGCTAGGAGAGCCCCAGCCTCCAGAGGCTCTCCCCTCAGAGGCTTCCTGGTGTGGTTCTACTTGGACCCAGCTCCCTTCCTGCTCCCTCTGGCTAAGATCAACCATGCTCTGCCACCAAGGCTGGGCAGGACAGGAAGGCTGACATAAAGCTCCCAGCTGGACATGTGGACCCAACTCTGGAACATCAAGGATTACTTGGCAATGAATTGCGGGTAAACAACAGTAATAGCTTCTTTCCCCCATGTGCTCAATGTCTGAAGCTTCCCAGAAGGGACCTACAGGATATGATGTTCCCATATCGGTTCTTGTTGCGGTTTTCGTCCTCCTTGGCTGTGTCCCACGAAGCTGTCTGCCCCTCTGGTAAGGCCTAGAAAGCAAGGACAGAGGAGTTAGAGTGGCCTGGGGTAGGGGCTTTATCCGGGTGCAGATGGACCAACAGGGGTAACAAGACCCACGGTGAAGGGGCACTCAGTCCACAGGGCCGTGTGTCCTCGGATGGGGCCTAAAGAGAGCATAGACTTTGTTCCCTCCACGGACCCATTTGCTTGTTCATTGGCTCAATATTGCTGATTCTTCTGAGTGTCTGAGTTCACTATCTGGTCCAGGAGAGGAGTCATTTGTTCATTCATTCATACACTTGACAGTTCCTCACTGAGCCCTGAATACATGCCGGGGTACGGAGAGATAGACAAGTCTCTTGAGCTTCCAGTCAACTAGGAAATATAGCGAATGAACAAGCAAATGCAATTTTAGATAGTGAAAAATGCTATGAAGAAAATAATGCAGGATAAAGGGATAGTGTACAGGAAGGAGAATAATTTCAGATTACACAGTCTAGGAGAGCTTCTCCGAGAACTTGACATTGAAGTATAGTGTAGATCCCCCCATCCTTGGGGGACACACTCCAAGGCACCCAGCAGGGACTCCTGAAACCACCGATAGTGTCAAATTCTGTGTGTGCTATGTTCTCTTCTTAGATATTCGTACCTATGATAAACTTTCTAAGTTAGGCATTGTAAGGGATGAATGATAACTGAGAGTAAAATAGAACAATTATAACAATATACTGTAATAAATTTTTGTGAATGTAGTCTCTTTCTTAAAATGTATTTTTTTTTTTTTTGAGACAGTCTCACTTTGTCATCCTTGGTAGAGTGCCATGGCATCACAGCTCACAGCAACTTCAAACTCTTGAGCTCAAGTGATCCTCTTGCCTCAGCCTCCCAAGTAGCTGAGACTACAGGCCTTGCCACAACACCCAGCAATTTTTAGAGCTGGGATCTTGCCCTTGCTCAGTCTAGTCTCGAACCTGTGAGCTCAGGCAATCTACCCGCCTTGGCCTCCCAGAGTGCTAGGATTGCAGGCGTGAGCCACTGCACCTGGCCTCTCAAAATGTCTTACTATTTTCAGATCATGGTTGACTGCAGGTAACTTAAACCACGAAAAGCAAAACCACAGACAAGGGGGATACTTTAAGTCCTTAATGATGTGAGTGAGCCAGTCACACCAGGAAAAGTAGGAAATCTTTTCTAGGCAGAGGGGACAGCAGATGCAAAGATGATCAGGTAGCAACCAAAGGCCATATTCAAGGACTACAGGGAGCCAGGGGAGCAGGGAGGGAAGCGTCTAGGGACGGTGGGGAGTGCAGTTTATATAAGGTGTTGCTGTTACCAGTTAACGCACTGGGTATGATTCTAAGTGCGATGAGGAAGCCATTAGAGGGTTTAGAGCCGGGAATCACCTGTTCTGATTCATGTTGTACAAGTACGTTTTGGCTCGTGTGCAGAAACAGGTTCTGGGGACAGAGGGCATGGAGAGAGCAGGGAGACCGGCTGGGAAGTTGTGACAATAGGCAAGTGACATGAGACAATGGTACCTTGGACTCTTGGACCAGGGTAGTTGCAGTGGGTGTGTCAGAAAGTGATTATCTGCAGAATACTGTTGACTTGAGTTGCCCTAGAAGCAGACTCACAGGTAGAAGTTTAAGTACAAGATATTTGTTTGCGAGGAGGTCCCAAGGAGCATGGGTAGGAGAATGGGGAAATGAGATGATCCAGGCAATGAAGCCAAAATCGGTACATCAGTGAGCAGGCTACCACCGGGTGCAACCAGGGCTTAGTCTGACGGGCACGTCTCATGCCTCAGAGTTGTCTCAGCAAAGGGGGAGGGGGTTGGGGAGTTTATCCACCAGTTCCCATCTAATACTGATTGAGGACAACTCTTGGGAGCTCCTTAGCTCTTTGCCATGCTCTGCAGGCAGGGTGCGCATATTTTTATGTCCTGAAAAATTTCTCAGGCAAAAAGTCACAGGTGCTCACAAAGGAACCATCAGGGGGTCACGCATGGGGATGATGAGCATGGGGTACAGTGGACCTGGAAGAAAATACAGGGATGAACGCTGACCCCTAGGGTACTGCTCTGAAGAGCTGAGTGGAGAGAGACGTCATTTACTGAGACGGAAAAGCCTGGGAAAGAAACAGGATTAGGGAGGCCGGAATTAAGTGCTGTGTGTTAGGTACCCACAAAGCGCTCAGAACAGCACCTAGCTAAGCACTTACTGAGAACTGCGTACTTTTGTAACATGTCCAAAATGACAGTTACAATACTAATAGTGGCAGCCACATTTTAGAAGTCTGTTAGATATCCAAGCTGAGATGCTGAGTAGGAAGCTGGACACAGGAGTCATCATCAGTGCGAGAGGATGGTGACCACAGATAAGACAGACAAGTCAACACACATGTGGGCAGATGGGCAAGAGTTATGAGCCAGGGGTCCGGGAAACTCAGGGGAGGGTGCACTCAGTTACTTCATAGACGGGGAGGATGGGCATTTCAGAGAGTGGGGATGGCCATGTTTGGGTTACTGTCTCTGCCCTCCCTCTGGGACAGCAGGCTGAGTACCCTGCTCATGGCCCTTGCAATGCTCCAGAGACTGAAGGTGCAACATCGTCTGTCTACACAGCTTTCTGTCAGCAAGGAAGGGGAGCTTTTAATCTCCCTGCTGTGCCTATGCCCATCTATTCATTACTAGGTCATCCTAAACCAGGTGGAACCTGTAACCAGATGGCTCAGAAATTCAGCCACTCAGTGAGCCAAGTTTAATAGGCAGGCAGGACCACTGCCTATAAAATGCCAGTGCCCTGTGCATGGTGCCACCTTTCCTGCTTCTTCTGTTAAGCCAGCCTGGGGTTGGCAAGTTTTTTTTTTTTTTTTTTTTTGTAATGGGCCAGGTAACAAGTAGTTTGGGCTTGGTGGGCTGTGGAGTCTCTGTTGCCACTACTCATACCCAACTCGATTGTTGGAGAGTTGGAAACAGTCACAGATTAAAAGCAAACAAATGGCTCGGTGCCTGTGGCTCAAGCAGCTAAGGCGCCAGCCACATACACCTGAGCTGGCGGGTTTGAATCCAGCCTGGGCCTGCCCAACAATGACGGCTATAACCAAAAAATAGCCAGGCATTGTGGTGGGTGCCTGTAGTTCCAGCTACTTGGGAGGCAGAGGCAGGAGACTGGCTTGAGCCCAGGAGTTGGAGGTTGCTGTGAGCTGTGATGCCACGGCACTGTACCCAGGAGGACAGCTTGAGGCTCTGTCTTAAATAAATAAATAAATAAAAGCAAACAAATGGGCCTGTGTTCCAATAAATCCTTATTTACAAAAACAGGTGTTGGACTGGGTATAGCCTGGGGCTATAGTTTGGCGATTTTTATTCCAGAAGCACAGTCATGACCTCATCTAAGCACTGGTTGGGCAGGTGGCATTGGTGCTCATTGTGCTACTCAGACACTCCAGAGTCACTGAGGGGGACAGGAGGGAGGTCCTGGCCTGGGCTCCTGGGCTAAGCCATACTGTCAAACTCAGCTTTCCTCAGGATTCAGGCCGGGAAAGTAAAGTGCCTTCCCAGCTATTAGTGGAGCAGAATTTTGTTCTTTGTGCATTGGACACACGTAGATAGGCATCTTGGCGGAGAAACAAAACAGAAGCTAGGCTCTGGGCATCGATATCTGGCCTAGATCTGGGTATGGTGAAAGTGTGATGATGACAGAAAAGTGCTCACTTTGCAAAGGTGGGGCTTAACTCTCATTCTCCTCCTCTTCCTCGTCCTCCCCCACCCCTTCCTCCACATTCTCTTCTTGCTCCATATTAAAAAGACCATCATCCTGCACATCTCTTGCCATTGGGCCCAGGCCCTTTCTAGGCTGCAAATAGTTCCCACTTCTGCACAAAACTCTTAGGGCTCAGATTCGGGTCCTGGCCTCATCCTCTGGCCCACCCAGGGCGCTCCAGCCCTCCCAGGCAGCTTGTCTGGTCTAATCTCTGCATGTCCAGGGGGAGGTTCCTAGTCTCAGTGTAGCTCGGGATTTCTTGAAGTCTGAGCTGATCTTTTGGGATTGGATTTTGTACCTGAAACCCTCTGCAATAAAAGTCAACTTTTCATCCAGACATATCCCCCTGATAGAGGGGCGAAGCCAAGAGCGGGACAACCCGAATGTCTTCATACTCATTTTTAGAAGAAATAATTGTTGGGTACCTGCAACGTGCCAGGGTGTGGGTTGTAGTTAGCATGAGGTCTCTCTATGGCTACATATCAGAATCACCCAAGGAGGCTCTACAGTCCCCCAAACCAAGGCCCTATCCCTGACCAATTAAATTGAACTTTGTAGGTTGGGACACAGGCATCCCAGTGTTTGAAGCTCTCCAGGTGATACTAATGCGTTCCCATGATGTTTGCAAACAGTGAATTTACCTGGAAAAATACAATCCTTTCCCATGATTCTCCTCACCAATCTTTTGCTTTGGTTTTGTCTCTCCCCAATCCATCAGAAAAATCACCCTAAAATGTGAATAGGACCCCACTGTTGTCCTTACCATTGTCATCAGGATAAATTCTAAACTCTCTGACACAAGGTCCTTTAGGACATCACCCCAATGCCACTCCAGCCTCACTTCTCGCACTGATATTGATATGAGTATGCCAATTAAAACGTATTTTAAATTTCTGAGACTTTACACCTGCTTTTTTCTCTGCCTAAAATTCTCTTCCATGTGAGTTGGCCTGGCAAACTCCTATACATCCTCCAAAACCCATTCAAGCATCTTTGTGGAATCTTCTCTGTTTCCCTTCCCTCACCCCACTGCATCCCTAGTTATAGTCGGCCACTTCTATTATTAGACGTCTCCATCTAATAATTTAACTCTCTAGTTCCCGACTTGGCCCCAGGATCACAACTATCTCTAGAACTCAAGGCTGGCTCTGCACTCCAGATGTGTTTGAAGGGCCCTTTTGGAACGAATGAATGAATGAGTGAAATAATTAGTGAATGAGGTGGCTTCTGTAAACTCAGATGGCAAAGATCCTAGAATCTCAGAG